GTGAATATAAAATTGTCGTACTTGGTAGTGGTAGTGTTGGTAAAACATCATTGACTACACAATTTGTACAAGGATTATTTGTTGAAGCATATGATGCAACAGTTAGTTTTGTTTATATAAAATTTTTTGAATATATCTTTTTTTTATTTTCAACAGATTGAAGATAGTTGTCTAAAACACATAGAAATCGATGGACAACAATGTATGCTGTAAGTTTGAATTTTTCGAAATAATAGTACTTTAATTTAGATTTTATTTTAGTGAAATTTTGGATACTGCTGGAACAGTAAGTCGTTTGCTAATTTTATTTCAGTTTGAGATTTTAAACATATATTGACTATAGATAAGTCTTAGTTTCAATCTTTGTATCGATCATGTTAAAAATAGATTTTCACAATTATACTCGTGATAGAATAGTTAAAAATATTTTTTGATAATGATATAATCATGTGAGATAAAGTTGCTAAGTACCAAAAAGTAAAATGTTAGTAATCATAATTCTCGTAAATCTTAGATGAAAAGACTTTTGATCAATAGAATGTTATAAGTTTTCAAAATTCTTCTGTGGTCTTATCATTTAGCAGTTCGATCTATTCTCGACGATGTATAATGCCATGTATAAAATAAACTTTTTCAATATTGTTAGTTGACTTCGTGAAATTTTGGAAGAAAATGATCAATACCATTATTTCTAATTCTAACAAACTATGAAAATAGTGGATTGAAGCTTCCTATAGATGAAATTGATGCAACAGATTGTTTCTCTTTTGATCGATAAGTATACCCTCTTAGAAATTTTTCATTTAACGTATTTTTGTATTATTATAATGAGGCTAAGAAACATAAATGTGTTCTACAATTCAGCTCTATAAGGATTACCCTGATGAGTTTCAAAAGAATGGTCATGGACAACCTCATATATGAACAGCATGAGAATAGATTTTTAATATTTTCAGGAACAATTTACTGCTGTGCGAGATTTATATATGAAAAATGGTCAAGGATTTGTACTTGTATATTCAATAACTGCTCAATCAACATATAACGAACTTATTGATTTACGTAATACAATCCTTGAAGTAAACGATATTTCTAATGTAAGGAAACCTCTCTTTTGTATCATCGGTATAATCGTACACTAGATACATATTTTATAATAATGAATATAGGTACCAATGGTATTAGTAGGAAATAAATGTGATCTTGAAGATGAACGTATAGTTGGAAAAGAAGTCGGCCAAGCATTAGCAAACAATTGGAATTCAATATTTCTGGAAACATCTGCAAAACAAAACATAAATGTTAATGAGGTTCAACTTTTTAAAATATATTTCATGAAAAAGAAAATAATTGATTTTCATATTATTTAGGTATTTGTTGAACTTGTTCGTCAAATAAATAAACTAACAACAGTAAATAAAGATAAAACAACGAAAAATAAAAATTCTAGTGAGACCAGTAATACAAATCCATCAGCATCAGATATAACGAAGGATGTTGATATCTCACAAACAAATGAACCAAAGAAAACATCTGTTTCAAAAAATCAACATTTTTGTATACTTCTATAAAACTTCAATGAAATATCGTTTCTATTTTTCTTTTCTGATGATGATTCTACGTTTAAGTTAACCAAGTTTTCTTTGGGTGATGTTCGTTTTATTATCTGTTTAATTCAAATAGAAAATATTATTTTTTGAATTGATTTGTTCTACAAATATGCAAAATATCATTGATGTATGCGTTCAAAAAGAACATCATTCTGCATGAGATAATAAATAAGATATTCAATTCACTCTTTCGAATTTGACTATTTTTATCTTTTATTTTAGCTGTATGAAGATAAAATCAGAAGATAAACAACAGATAAGAATAAAATAAGTTTGGCATCTCGAAATGTTGTTGTTCGTTGGATTTGCTCTTTTTTTGCACTGTGAGAATACATTCTAGCATGAATAGACCATTGAATTAATATTAAACAAACCAATCTTAGAAAGTCTCACGAGAGAACGTTTTCAATTAACCGATCATGCTTTCATTGAATGCTAGTATGTTGGAGATTATGGATCATGTCGATTTCGAATACAACAATCGGAAACCTCGCCAAAAACATTAAATTTTTCTGTTTCTAATTGAATAAATTTCAGTTTTCTTCATCTATATCAATATATCGATAAAGACTATTCGATGATGGTACCCTTTGTACAACATAATCAAAAAAACAAACATATGTTGTCGCATCATAGATCGAACGAGTTGTACAAATATTGACTCTGCTAATGAACATAAAACTTTCAATATTAGATAAAATGTTTGTTTCAACAGATTACCAGCAAGAGCTCATAATATAAACGGATGCAGAACGAATGTCACTTGTGAAGGAAGACAACTATCACCTGTGACTATTGAGCTGTTTGTTCAAGATCATAAGTGAGATCTTTCTTCTCTTTAACAGGAAAAAGATCGTTAATATGTACGATAACAGCAAGTGAATTACAATTCAATGATCATAAAGAATGACATCGATTATTATAATTTTCTCAAAAGGAAGAATATTATTCGGGGATCTCAAATGTTTTTCAAGTTCGTTTGCATCAATAACCACCAAAAACAAAAATTCTTCACCTATCAACTTTGCCATTTTTCTTAGATTAAACAACAAGTAACTTTTATCAGAATGAGTATTTTATTAATGGTACTATGCACCTTTTATAAAAAGGGTGTGGGTGTGGATATATGGGTGTGTGGATGTGAGGGTGTGGGTGTGGGTACTCAATTCACTGACACCCACACTCACCCACACCCCACACCCAATTGACATACACTTTTATCAGCTAACTGGAAAATTTATGGTCTGCAATCTTATTCTTATTCTTCACACAATGGATGGAACGTTGACGTGATATTCAGGTCAGCTGAAAATACACAGAAAACCATTGTCAGCATGTGAAAATAGAAATGAATTGGATTGTATGCTTCAGGTTAGTTCATAATCTTAAATCTATTCGACGCAAATGGGGAACGGTGTACTCTTGTACTTCTGGAATATGCCGTTTCCCTATTATGTCGCTCTCAAAATATTGAACATCGAGGGAGTAGATGTGTGGCTGTAGGTGTCTATTCTCTAACACTCATACCCTCAATATGATCAAACCTATAATGAAATAATATAAAATAATTGTTGAGAAATGTTATTTTCAAAAAAGAAGAAAATTTCTTAAGAGATATCCAATTCAAATAAAATGATTTTAAACACTTTTTGATGTGTTTGTAAATTGATTATTTGATGTATACTGATTACCTCAAAGAAAATATGAAATTGTTATTTCTACGAAAGAATAGTTTACAAGGGGGAACCGGCGGATTGCGTATTTTCGGGATTTTTGGGATTTTTTCCGGATTTTTGGGATTTTTGGGCTTTTTTTCGGATTTTTGGGATTTTTTACGGATTTTTGGGATTTTTTACGGATTTTTGGGATTCTACGGATTTTCTATGGATTTTCAAGGATTGGCAATCCCAAAAATCCGCCGTTTCCCCTTGGAACTTTCACTCTGAGAAATCACCCAATCAAGGGTTTTCGACCCCGCGCTTTCGACCAATCACATTCTTTCAAGCTAAAAAACCGGCCAATCAGCGGTTTTCGATGTTGGGCTTCCAGCCAATAGGAATTTTTCATGCCAAAAATCCAGCCAATCAGGGGTTTTCAATGTTGGGCTTTTAACCAATAGGATTTTTTCATACTAAAAATCCAGCCAATCAGGGGTTTTCGATATTGGACTTTCAGCCAATAGGATTTTTTCACGCCAAAAATCCAGCCAATTAGGGGTTTTCGATATTGGGCATTCAGCCAATAGGATTTTTTTCATATTGAAATTCCAGCCAACCAGGGGTTTTCGATATTGGACATTCAGTCAATAGGATTTTTTTCATATTGAAATTCCAGCCAATCAGGGGTTTTCGATATTGGGCTTGCAGCTAATCAGATTTTTCCATATTGGAGTTCTAGCCAATCAGAGATGTTCGATATTGGGCTTTCAACCAATTAGATCTTTTAATATTGAAATTCCAGCCAATCATGGGTCTTAACTCGAAGAAGCCAATGTAAAACGGTATTTGTAAATGGAGTCAGAACTTTTACGGTACATGGAGAATAACGAACTATTACTTTAGTGTATTCAAATAATGGAGCGATTGGCCATGAGTGGCACCCCGCAGGAGCGCCGACGAACAACTAGCCACTGATATTGCAAGCGCATTCGACATACGCTTCGGAAAAGATCGGTATGAAAGCTGGGTTCATTAAGAATACTGCACTAAGATTCCCTTAATTAGAAATTCTAATAAAACTGTGACTTTTCAGCTAGACAATTAGGTTGAAGAAATATGGAATAGTTCGTAACAAAGTGCCAATTCCGGAGTGCCCATCGAGAATTCTCATGTTATAAATCTAACTATTTGTCGAAGTAAGAGCAGCCTGGAATTTGATAGAGTGTAAATCAAAGAGGATGATCTTATGGGAGAATAGAATTACACGTGGCATCGGCTAGCCGCGAGTGGCGCCTCAAAGGGACGCCGACGAGCGACTAGTCGCTGCACTGGAAAATTCCCTGAAAGAAAGCTTCAGGCTGGTGGGATTCATCGGATAAATGTCAACAGTGTAGATCTGATGGATTTGGATAGGGGCTAGCAGTGGCAAAGAACTGAGAAATAATTTGAAATAAAGTGTGAGAATGGCTTTTCTGCACGTGTATAATATTTGAATCGTACATTTCACGGAAAACATCACTCAAAGAACTTATATTCGCTGTATCAAAAGTAGATATGAATGAAAGAAGAGGGAGTTTTTCTGTTGGTATGTGTTCTTGTTTGTGTTCATTCACGTGCGGGAATATATACGGGTATATTCAAAGTATCTGTCGAGTCCAGCGGCAACCTCGAGTAGGAGCTTCTTTCAAGTATGATATTCGAATTACAGTTCAGATCTTATATAATTTATTCTAAGCTAGAAGTTCAACTGAACTTGTATTTTTCTAGCGATGCTCTAGCAAACAACATTGTCGGGCGATGTACTAGTAAGCATACGGATTTTTAGTAGAATTTTCAAGGAGTATGGCAGATGTTCACAATGGTGTCGCGAACGCATTTTGCTTCATGACCGCTCAAAAAATTGAACATAATCTCTCTTTTCGGGAGCTTGCAAATACGGCCGCCGTAGTGTAGTTCATCTGGATTTCTGTTGAGTATCAATGTGTGGATATCAATTCAATTAGATCAATTTATGACAAAAATTAGCACACGGATTTGCATACTATTGTACACAACGAGATTGATGCCAATTCTTGACATCCACACACCTACCTATTCTTTTGAAACGTTGGATACTAGGTTCGTTGAAGAATGTAAAGCAGCATATAACACCAAAAGAGCCGAATATTCAGTGGAGGGTCAAGCGAGTCACATGGACGAGCGTTACTTGTTGAAAAAAACAGCAAAGAAAAACAACAAAAATCAGAAAAAATGAAAAAGAAGGAACAAAAACTATCTACCTACAAGGGGGAAAAAGCGGATTATTTTGGATTTGAATCCCGAGAAAATACCAAGAAATCCCAAAAAATCCCAAAAAATCCGAAAATCCAAAATCGAAAGTAGTTTTCAGCAATATTTTTCGATCATATTCTCTAGTGTTTCGAACATAAATAGGCAGTTTTAAGTCCTCAATGGCTATCCTATGAGAGTACCCATAAGTCCTTAACTGCTGTTCTATGGGGGTACCCATAGGTCCTCAAGGGCTATCCTATAGGAGTATCCATAATTCTTCAAGGGCTATCCTATGGGGGTACCCATAGGTCCTTATAGCCTATCCTATAGGGTACCCACAATTCTTCAAGGACTATCCTATGGGAGCTACTGTAAGTTCTCATGGCCTATTCTGTGGCGATACCCATAGATCCTCAATGGCTGTCTTACAGTGGCGCTTATAAGTGTGCGAGAGCCTCAGTTCAGTTTGCCGTGGTGGAGATGATCAGCCAGCTCTCGTTCACATGAGATGTTACTCTCTAGCACCTCTTCAATTGAGCTCTCGGAAGTCGTGGAGCTGAAGGTGTCATGAACCAAACGTTGAACCGATCTTTGATAAAAGGTTAACTCAAAATTGACCCAAACTTGTGAAACGCAATCTCGTCGACGTAATACTAATTGTGAAGTAAAACTACTCCTTTAGGTGACTCAATGATGTTGAGCTAAGAAGAACAGTCCACTTTCACTTCTTTAAGGAAAAATCAGGTACACGATTCTTGCATTATCCTTACACCAGTCCCGTACCACATTCAACTTCAGCTACTAGATGACGTACGAGTAGCATCCTTATTATTGTCTGCCAGGTCCTGTGATTAAAAACCCTTGAAAACCTGTGACGACTAACGCTAGATATCTTCTGAACAGTCAGCAGCACCTGACACTCTTCCATGGGATAACCTTTAAAGAGTAACCAGAATTGCCGCAAGACAGTCCTTGAAAAGTTAACGATACCAAACCTCGATAGCCATTGGGAGCTTATGGACGCTGTTCATG